ATTCCCATGATTCCCTAGCACTAATCCTAGCCCTTAAAGTGGACTCAACTTGCACTATTTCTGACAGTCTGCAAAGGCCCAATATCTCCCATGAGACTTGACCCCAACTTTTCAGACAGACTTTTTAAGAAGTATTGAGATTTGCCAAGGGAAGCAGGAACCAGGATAAGAAAGCCACACTGTATAAGATGGCTCCTGGTCACAAAGCCAATCAAGTGTATCTGTTTGTGTACTCATATTATCTCTCCCTCATTCCTTATCACAGTGATGGTGAACCATACCATTCAGCCCCGGCAGTAAAACTGGCACCACACTGGATTATTTCTGCAGTGAAGATGCAGCCCTAACATCAGTGGCTGAATACCACTATTATTTTTAGATTGTGGATATTACTGTACTTTGCTATATGGCCAACAGTATAGTGGTGTAGTGGCTTGAATGTTGGAATATGGCTCAGGAGACCAGGGTTCGATTCCCTGCTTGGGCAAGAAACCCACTGGGTGACTTTGCCCAAAGTCTCTCAGCCTCTGGGGATGTCAATGGCAACCCCTCTGAACAGATCTTGCTAAGAAAATCCTGTAACAGGATTGTTGTGTTTCAGACACCAGTGTTGTGCAGCTGTTTTGTGCTGGACTAATCCTCTGGGAGACAGGGTTCAATTCCATAAAACCACAGTGGGCCTGGAGAGAAGGTGGCCCAAAGAAGGTGAGAATCATAGAATCATAGAGTTGGAAGAGACCACAAGGGCCATCCAGTCCAATCCCCTGCCATGCAGGAACTCAAAATCAAAGCATCCCCGACAGATGGCCATCCAGCCTCTGTTTAAAGACCTCAAAAGAAGGAGACTCCACCACACTCCAAGGGAATGTGTTCCATTGTTGAACAGCTCTCTCTGTCAGGAAGTTCCCCCTAATGTTGAGGTGGAATCTCTTTTCCTGTAGCTTGCATCCATTGTTCCAGGTCCTGTTCTCTGGAGCAGCAGAAAACAACCTAGCACCCTCCTCAATATGACATCCCTTCAAATATTTAAACAGGGCTATCATATCCCCACTTAACCATCTCTTCTCCAAGCTAAACATACCCAGTTCCCTGAGTTGTTCCTCATAGGGCATGGTTTTCCAGACCCTTCACCATTTTAGTCACCCTCCTCTGGACATGCTC